TATCTAAAATAAGAGATTGTCTGTTTGCTGTGTCATCGCTTTTGCTGACACACGCGTGAACATAAATCCTCAGTTTTACCTCTATATATAAACATAGTGTTTAAAATTCTGGCGCGTGTCTTATTTGTTATTCCTTTTGTGAATTATTAGATGAGAACTTGTATTGTTGTCAAGAGCGTGAAACGCGGTTTGATAACTGCGAACGTTCTTCTTCTCTTGAAAACAACATCAAAGATCCAAAGATCTACAGACAGACAAGTAAGACGCTCAATATAGAAGCGCTGATATGAAAACCGGATATATTCCATGTTTCTAAAATTCGAAAACTCATGATATTACGATGATAAAATGGTATATTTGTCGATGAATAACGTTAATTAGAAATCGCCTCGACGCTTATATCAGTTATCTCGGGCCATGACGTCAGAAGTGAAAATATAAATGAAACAATTCCCTGGAACGGTTGATTTTTCCTCAATAAAACTATTGTGACGTGACAAAGCAATTTGGCAAAATGTGCTACAGACCTTATCATTAAATCAACGTACATATTCTTTGTAACGCAAAATAACGATAAAAGATACAAAATTCGAATTATATGTATCTCATTATCTTAGTTGTGATTTGATAAGAATAAAGCCTTGATTTCGCCAGTTTTTTCCCTTAATTTTCTTAACAAATTCTCCGACGTTTTTTATAAGTCTGTCTGAGATGCGATGCTCTCGTTAACTGGCGCGAAAGTTCAATTGTTTCGACGTGCCGATTGTTTATTTAGACGACGATGACTATGCCGGCGAACGGAGAAGTTAAACGGCCTGATTTCTCATCTTTTCTCGACTCGTCGTGGGTGCGTATCGCGTCGAGGGTTTATTGTTTGCTGAGAATAATGGCAATTTACACGAGCTCGGATACGGCAGCTTATAGTAACACGTAACACCCGCTGCCGCAGCTGATAAGGTACGCTTTTGTACATACTACATTGGTAGACGTCACGAAACTGGCAAGATAAAATACGATTCGTTCAAGTACGATGTATAAGATAATACGCGCTATATAATGTGTCACGCAATTATCGATAGCATGATAGCATCCAAGTGATATGCGTTCCCGAGAATTTCTTTTTCCTTTTTAATTTTTTAATTTATTTTCATAGGAGCCAGATTATAATGTGGCGTATTTGATGGATACGAAAATTATACATAACTGACAGACTACTAGCTTATAATAATAAACTTCTATTTAAAAAAAATTGCATTATAATTGTTATTTATGTTCGTGTACACAATACTGTATTATAAATCAAAGGGACAAGATAAATGCCAATTAATTATTATATTATATTATTGTATTATAAATTTGCAGAATATAAAATATATTGTATTTTTCTCACAATAATAAAAGTGAAATAAAAAGTAAAATATAAATAAAAACGTAGAATCTAATAATTTTAATAACTAAAATGTAATAAAAATCTGATTCATAAAATCTAATTCGTAAAATCTAATTCATAAAACACTCATAAATTTTGTATCTTTTTCAGTTACCAATAATGATCTTAAAAAGTTTTTTTTTATGTAATAAATTTTAAATGAAATTTTTATGAAATTTTATATTTGATAGAGATTTAATATTTCCTTATGATATATGCACTTTGAGAATGTTATCAACTTTTTTTCTGAAAATGCGAGTCATACCTCAAGGAGAATCGTGATTTAATCATAAAACAGATTTATCACTGCAATGAAATTACATTTTCGAATAAAACGTGATTTTGCATTCTTTATTCAAAATTAATATACTTTGAACTTTCAGTATATTTTTAAGAAAACTCCAAGAAATTACAAAACGTACGTATATCTAAAAATATAAATGATCTAAAATCGCGATTAACTGAGAAAAATTCAGAATTAAGACAATCAAATAATCAGTATCAAAGAATATAGAAATTCGAAGAACACAAAAATATAGCATCTAAAGATTTAAGGATTCAGAAACGTCAATTTAGAATATTTAAAAATTTAGGTACTCGAAAGCAAAAATTTTATAAATTGAAAATTACAAATTAATTTTTAGATAATAAATCGATCAATACGACTTACCATCGATGGGTCGGAATCGGAATCTCTTGAACCTCGGCAATGTCGCAGAGGAACAAACTCTCGTTAGGACTGGCATCTCACTGACTTCTTCGGGTAACGATCGGCCGGAAACTCCGTTCGAGGACGATTTCAGCTCCGAAACGGCTGCACGCTTCGACGATCTCTCTGTGATGCCAGTGGCCTCTGCGAAATGAAAAAAAAAAAAACGCAAAGATAGGTATATACATACAATCCTTTGTTTGAGTTGACTGACTGCGTGCAATCTCCTGACGTGGACAACGGTGCGTCATCATCGAGTGTCATCGTGTGTGTGTGTGTCATTGCTCCAGTATGCGAATTGCAAAACTTTGCTTCAGCAGTGACAGCATTTTTTTTAATAATCAATGTCGATATTATTGCACAACGATGTCCATACTTCCCATGAGCAAACAAATAACGCTAAATTTGCATTTTTCTCTGTACAGCTATCTCTTTCTACCGCGAGATTTTTTTGAATGAAAAAATGTCGATATGTTATGAGTTTTAAGAAGAGCTTTTAATCAACGAGAGTGTTGTTAATTCAGAGATGCAACATTTTCGGTGATAAAAAATTTTCAAGAAACTGTTAACATCTTCAAGAAATTTTGTCTCTAATAAACTTTTTGTACGCCTTTATAAAGTATATTCTTTTAAATAAAGATATATTCCTTTCTTTAAGTTTATTTTTAATAATATTAATAATTGTATATAATGCGCTCTAGTTTCAATATTCATTTATTTCAATTTGGTCTTTTATCCTATTTTTATTTTTATGAACTTTGAACTATATATTTTTATGATGTACACATTGCACAAGTAAATGTTAAACCATCAATATAATACTCATCAGTGACCTAAGATTGCAGTTCTGAATCACATGATTGACAATCGTGGAAAAGTCAATACTTGCAACCTTGGCCTGATTCTTTTAAAATGGAAGCTTTTTTTAAAAAAATATTGACAAAAGAAATAAAAATATTTTAATTATTATTTTAAAAGCATTAACAATAAAAATTAAAACAATAAACTTATTTATTTCTAGTCTTCGATATGCATTACTGTCAAATTTTGTTTTTTCTTTTTTACAAAAAGAAAAAGAAATATATCAAAATATATGTATCAATTTTTAATTGCAAATAATAAAAATATTCATTTTACATAAAATAAAATTTCTATTAATTTCAATCCGTTTTCATAAAAAAATGTTCGTGTAAATATTTCTACACATAAATATTAAATATTAAGTTTCATACAAAATATTACAAAGTTGTGCAAAAATGTGAATCTTAATAAATTACTTATTCAGAATAACAAGAAGAATAATATAAATAATTGATTTTATATTACAAATGATTTTTTTGAAAACGATCTCACACTTCTCGTAACTCTTCAAACTCTATAAAAACCAAGCAACCACTAATTGAAATATCACATAAGAGAGTCGTCGAATTATACGTTCACGATGTGCAACAATTTTTGTGGAAACGTTTTTCCGATCGCGACAAAACAACACAACAAAATATCCGAGATCCGGGCTATTTTGGTTGAGGGGCAAATAAAAAGACATCAGACACAAATCCGCTTAAACCCATGTCAGTTTCTATAATAGCATTAGATTTATAACGCGCGTATATCTTCTTGCAAATCTAATTTTACGGGGTCCAACGGCGGAGATCCATCGCCGGGCGCGACGTCTGTCAGGTGAAATTGTCAGCGGTGTCGTGTCACTTACCCGGCGACAGCGGTCTCTTGACGGGCGACGATCTCGCGGTGCGATGGCTCGCCGTTGACTGTGCCGCGCCGTCGCGGCCGGCCGCCGATATCTTGGCGCTCATCCTCGCCGCGGAGGCCAGCCCGGCCGCCCGGTGGTTCCGGCGATCCTGACTCACGTACCAGGAAGCTCAGTCCGGAGGACGACGTAGGAGCATGCCGAGTCACGGGGTGACGGATCGCTCTCAGGTGCCCGGGTGTCTCGAGATTGCTCACGCTGACCTGCAAAAACAACGGTCGAACATCCGTTAGAAGAAATGCGGCGATCCGACGTTTACTCCGAAGTGGTAACTTTAATCTCGGTTTTTAACTTTTATTTTTTTTTTAGTTTCCAAGAATCGGTAAAGAGTAAATTAAAAATTGAAATTTGGATATAGGAATAATGTAAATCGAGATGTCATTAATATGGATAAGTAGAAATGAACAGGAATCGGAGATCAATAAGAAAATGGTGTGTCTATATTATTTTTATAAGCTTCGACAAGCAAAGCTCGAGATCGAAAATATAACTAACTTTTTGGTCTTTTTTTCCTCGATTAAACGCGATGTAATTAATAATTTTCGTAAAAAATCGAGACATTCAATCCTTCGCCTCTCTCGAGCGTATTTTCGCGACTGCAATGAGGAAGCCTTTAAACAGTTAAGAATAAACAAACGCAGAAGTTTATCCCTACTTCCATAGTCATTCCTCTTTATGGCCTTTCGCGTCTCGTTTGAGTTATCGAAAAAAATCGTTCGACTGGAGGAGACGAAAGGAACAAAGAGCGTTGACTCCGCAGCGGAGGAGAAGCCTTGGAGAAGACGGAACAGGAACTCGAGAGGAATCAAGGCGATCCACAATTTCTCGTTTGGCAGTCCGATTTGAGGAAGGAAATCGGTTTTTCGAGCATAATCTCTCTTAAATCTCTCTTAAAAGAGCATGCGCCTTGAATGCGGTTCTGATAATAGCGACGCTCGATATACTCTATAGGAAGAAAATTATCGGCGTCGTAGAGAGAAAGAGAGAGGAGTTTACGAGCATAGCTTCCCCCCCCTCCCTTTGCCAACCTGTACGGTACGTTGAGTATTTAAATAACGCTCGTAGCCTCGAGGCGAAAACGCAAGGCTGCGGCAAGGACAAGCGTTGGACTCGCGGCGCCATTATCCATGCATACGACGGGGGAGAGAGAGAGAGACACTTTCAAATTTTCTCTTTTTTTCGCGCAAACAAAATATCTTATCCTCGTGCCGAAAAAGATGAGAGCACCCCTCGAGTACCCGAATGCGAACGTGCGGACGAGAAGCGAGGGCGCGAGTCGACGAGAATCGCGACCGATGATTCGTCCCGCGCAGAGATCACGCGTTTAGAAGAGATTCGCAGACGCGAGTTTATCCACCGTCGAAAGCTTCCATCCCCTATTTTCTTCCGGTTTTATCGATCTCGCTCGATGATTCACTTTCAAGTCACTTTCACGGTTGCCACTCTCAAATTAGTCTTCTGTCAGTGAGGACGACTTTCCGAAAGAAGAGAAAGAAGTGAAAATTTAAGCACACGTTAACTGAAGACTATTTTCCGTTTTGCCAGATTTATAAAAAAAAAAAAAAAAAATAGAGACGTCACTTTATGTGGCTCCCGATTTGATTTATATAAAATATTACAATAAAAAAAATATATATATATATATCGACTATTTTCCCTTCGCATTCTGAGAAGAGATTAGAAAAAGAAAAGAACATCTCGTACATCTCACGACGTTTCACGTTCCTCGATGAATCTTCAACGATGTTCACATCCTCGAGTCGTCCCTGCGGATTAACTTCACGCACACGGGAATTATCGTTCGGTGCTCCGGGTTGGACGTCGCGACGCGAACGTCGACGTGCATGGCCCCATCGACGCTGTCACGGAGGACACGACTGTGCCGGAAGTGTCGTCCGCGATGCGGCCCTCCTCGTATGTACACGGTGTCCTAGGTAACCCGCCACCGCCGAGTCCGTGCGCGAGTCGCGCGGCCGCGTCCGCACGCGCGCGCGGATCACGTGTGTAGACGAGAGTATCGGATCGATTTCTTCACCTGTGCCTTGGCGCAGAGTTTCTCAACGGCCCACGTTTCTCAATACCTGCAATTCTAGTCGCGCGTGTAATACTTGCAATTAAATCTACCACCGCGGAAGGCTGCGTATCGTGAGAAAGCTTCTTGGAAAATTCCAAACACCTCCCGATCGACTCCTTAAAGAAGCAGAAAATATTGAGTTTTGAGTGAACTGAAAAAAATATATAGATTAATAAATTAAGAAATTAAAATATTAATTTTTATAAACCGAGACATGAATTTTTATATATTAAGAAAATTTATAAGTTAAAAAATAAAATTTTATAAATTATTTCGCTTGTTATAGAATGTGAAGAGCTGTGAGAGCTTTTTATTTCTTAAGGAGACTTGCTGATAGTTTAAAATTGTGCCGAAACATATGGATTATAATTTTCATTACACACTAATTTCTACGCCTCTTATTGTCTTTTAAAGTTTGTTTTGCTTTTTATTATTAATTTTCATAAATTAAGAAATTTATAAAAAATACAGTTGAGCTTCTGTGAAATTTTTTCCTTGTTTCTTTTTTTTAGAAATCTATACAATAAAAAAAAGACAATATAGTACAATAAGAAATTTATATTCCGATATTTTTTTTATCTTACCTTTTGTTATGCCCTGAATGTTTCGTACTTCCGAATCTTGAATCGTTTCTCTTCAACTGAAAGTTTCATATCTTCTATGTCTAAAGCGAAATAAGAATGCATGCTAAAACGTCGGGAGAAAAAAGGGAACAAAGAGGGAAGTTCTCTTAGAACTCGTATTATTTAACGGTATCGCGCACTTTTAAGTTTGATTTGACATTAACAAGCAATGGCAGTTCATGCCCGATATGGGTACCACTGGCAAGCACAACGATCCAATCTGCTTCCGTATTTAGCGAAGCGCGTTTATTCCGTGGCATTACTTCACCCCTCGCGAGAGTATACTCATCGTATTTAGATTATATCGATTGCCGTTGCACACGTCATAGCCTGACCTACTTGTAACATCGGACGTTTCTTATATATATATATATATAAATATATGTGTGTGTGTGTGTGTGTGTGTGTGTGCGTGTGTGTGTGTATATACGTATATTGTATATACGTATATAGTACGGGTAAGGC